TGTACCAGAAGAAACTGTCTGACACAGAAGAATTTCATGAAACAATGTATGAGCAAGAGTCTGTGGTGATGAAGGAGGAAATTCAAGTTGCTCTGAAAGAATTGGCAAAAAACAAGGCTCCAGGAGTTTATGACATACCAATTGACATATTTCAATAAACAGACGCTGCCCTGGATGTGCTGACCTAAGTTATGCCAAGAAATCTGGAGGACAGCCAGCTGGGCAACTGACTGGAAGAGATTGATATTTTTCCTATTCTAAAGAAAGGCAACCTGACAGAATGTGGACATTATTGAACCATATCATTAATATCACATGCAAGCAAGAATCTGCTGAAAATAATCCAAAAACAATTGGAGCTGCACGTTGACAGAGAACTGCCAGATGTGAAAGCTGGGTTTAAAAGAGGCCGTGGTACTAGGGATATTATACTAACGTTAGGTGGATCTTGGCTGAAAGCAGAGAGTATCAGAGGAGTGTCTATCTGTGTTACAATGACAATGCAAATGCTTTTGACTGTGTGGATCACGACAAACTGTGACTGACTCTGAGAAGAATAGTAATCCCAGAACATTTGATTGTGCTTATATGAAACTAATACTTGAAACAAGAGGCAGTCATCAGGACAAAGGAAGGAAACATTGAATGGTTCAAAATATGGAAGGGTGTCTGCCAGGGATGTATTCTGTCTCCATACCTTTTCAATCTGTATGCACACCACATCATCAAGGAGGCTGGTCTGTACGAGGAGGAATATGGCATCAGGACTGGAAGAAGATTTATCAACAACCTGTGTTACGCAGATGACACAACTCTGCTTGCTGAAACTGAGGAGGACCTGAAACATTTGCTGCAGAAGGTCAAGGACGGCAGTCTTCAATATGGACTGAAGCTCAGCATCATGAAAAACAAACATTCTCACCACTGGGCTAATTGCCAGCATCATTATGGATGATGAAGAGGTTGAGATTGTTAGCAGTTTTAGTTTGCTTGGCTCCACAATCAACACTCTTGGTACCAGCAGCCAGGAAACCAAGAGATAAATTACATTTGAAAAATCAGCTTTTAGGGACTTCTCCAGAGTACTGAAGAGCAACAACGTCATACTGGAGACTAAGGTACTCCTGTCACAGGTCATACATGCAATTGCGTGTTATGCGTCAGAGAGCTGGACAGTGACTAGGGGTGATAGAAAGAACTGATGCCTTTGTGCTGTGGTGCTAGAGACAAGTGTTGAATGTCCCATGGACTGCTAATAGAACAAACAGGTTTGTCCTGGATAGGGTAAAACAGGGTTGCCCCTTGGAAGCAAGGATTCTGAAGCTTCATCTGACATACTTTGGACATGTTGCAAGGAGGTACCAGTCTTGGAGAGGGACATCACATTTGGGAGGGTGGGGGGACAATGTAAGAGAGGAAGACCCTTGATGAAATTGACCATTCAATGATTGGGGTAATGGGAGTAGGTGTGTCAGAGACAGTGAGGTTGGCACAGGATAGAACAGGTTTTAGGGCTCTTGTAAATAGGGTTGCTATGAATCGCAAGTGACTTGATGGCACATAACAACAACAAATCACTAATATCAAACACTAGCAAAAACCCTGCTGAAGATCATCCAGAAATGACTGGAATGGCACAGCAACAGAGAACTCTCAGAAATATGAGTTGGGTTTAGAAGAGATTGTGGCACTAGAGACATTATTGCCAATGTTAGATCTTGGCAGAAAGCAGAGAGTGCCAGAGGAATGTCTAGCTGTGTTTCACTGACTATGCAAAGGCATTTGTGTAGATCACAACAAATTGTGGCTAGCCTTGAAGTAAATAGGAATCCCAGAACACTTGATTATGTTTATTGAAAATCTACACTTGGACCAGGAAGCAGTCCTCAGAACAGAGCAAGGACACACTGTATGGTTCAAAATCAGGAAAGGAGTGCATCAGCTGTGCATCCTGTTTTCAGACCTGTCCAATCTATATGTGGAACAGATAATTAATGAAGCAGGGATTTATAAGGAGGAATGAGGACAACAACTTACATTATGCATATGACACAACCCTCCTTGCTGAAACTGAAGAAGACCTGAAGCACTTGCTGCCAAAGGTAAAGGACTTCAGGCTTCAATATGGATTGAAGCTCAACATGAAGAAGACAAAAATTCTCACCACTGGGCCCATTGGCATCACCGTGGAAGACAGAGAAGAGATTGAGATTATTAACAGTTACAGCTTGCTCGGCTCCACCATCAACACTTAACACCAGCAGTTAGGAAATGAAAAGATGAGTTGCATTAGGTAAATCTGCTGTCTGGGACCTTTGCAGAGCACTGAGAAGCAACAATGTCAGTCTAGAAACTAAGCTGTACCTAATCCAGGCCGTGGTTTTGGCAATTACTTGCTATGCATCAGAGAGCTAAACAGTGATTAAGGATGGCAGAATAATTGATGCCTTCTAATTGTGGTACTGGAGAAGACTCTGAACATGCCATGGACTGCCAAGAAAACAAATAGGTCTGTCTTGGAGAGGGGGAAACAAAACCTCTCTTTGGAAGCTCTAATTCTGAAGCTCCATCTCACGTATTTTGGGTACATTATGCTTGGAAGGGTGGAGGGAAAGTACAGGAGAGGAAGACCTTGGATGAGAAAGAACTATATAGTGACGGGCAATGGAGATTGGTGTGCCGGAATTAGTGAGACTGGCTCAGCACAGGGCAGGGTTCAGAGCTGCTGTACCTAGTCACTATGGATTACAGGTGACTTGGCAGCACATAACAACAACTACCTTTGAAAGATAACATGCCTTCTTGGGGACATGGAAGTTCCATAATGAAAGCCCCCAGACCTTGCTCTGTGAATCTTTCCTTTGTGTTGATTTTGTTTTGTATACCTTGTGCTGTTGTTAAATACAGTGGTGTCAAGTATGACTAACAATGACCCCATGAACAACAGGTCTGAGTCCTGTCCTATCCTGTGCTGACCTCACAATCTCTGACACACTTGAGCCCAGTGCTTCAGTTACTGAATCAATCTATCTGGTTGAGAGTCTTCCTCACCTTCATTGTCTCCACCTTTCCTAGCATAATGTCCTTCTCCACGGAATAGCCTTTCTTACCAACATACACAAAGTAAGCGACACAAAACTTTGCCACACTTTCAAGGAGTGCTCTGGCTGCACATTCTTCAAGATGTACCTATTTTTTGGCAGCCCATAGAATATCCAGTACTTTTCTCCAATGATGTCCAAAGACATCAATTCTTCTGTCATCCTTATTTTATTATTCAGCTCTCAGTAGCTATATAGTAAGTGATTGAGAAGACCATGAACATCATTGCTCCTCAGTAATTTGGAGAAATCCCTGACTGCAGAGTTTCCCACCTTCTGATATCCTATTAGTACTAAATGTATTGATTTTTGGATCCAAGTAAGATAAAGCCATTGACAGTTTCAATCTTTTTCTATTATTATATTGCCAATTGGTTCGGTGGTCATAATTTTTATTTTCTTGACATTGAGGTGTAATCTATATTAAAAGTTGCAATATTTGATCCCCTGCTGCAAGAATTTAAAGCCCTCCTCACTTTCAGCAAAGAAAGGTTGTGTTATCTTATCTGCATGTTTAAGGTTCTTGAGAAATCTTCCTCCAATCTTTATGCTATATTCTTTTTCAAAAAGTCAAGCTTCTTGAATAATTTGTTCAGCTTATAAATTGAGTATGTTGTTGTTATGTGCCGTCGAGTCACCTGTTACTCATAGTGACCCTATGTACAATAGCCCTAAACCCTGCTCTATCTCGTGCCAATCTTATTGTCTCTGACACACCTATTGCCATTACTGTAGTCACTGAATCAATCCACCTCATTGAGGGTCTTCCTCTCCTCTGCTCTCCCTCAACCCTTCCAAGCATGACATTCTTTTCCAAGGACTGATCACACCTTGCAACATGTCCGAAGTATGTCAGATGAAGCTTCAAAATCTTTACCTCCAAGATGCACCTGGCTTTACCCTTTCTAGGAACAAACTTGTTCATTCTCCTAGCAGTCCATGGTATATTCAATACTTTTCTCCAGAACCACAGCTCAAAGACATCACGTCTTCTTCTATCACCCCTAATCATTGTCCAGATTTCTGATGCATTGCAAGTAATTGCAAAGACCATGGCCTGTATCAGGTGCACCTTAGTCTCCAGACTGACATCGTTGCTCTTCAGTACTTTGGAGAGGTCTCTGACAGCAGATTTTCCCAATGCTATTCGTCTTTTAATTTCTTGGCTGCTGGTACCAAGAGTGTTGAAACTGTTAACAATCTCAATCTCTTCACCATTCATAATGATGCTGCCAATTGGCCCAGTGGTGGGAATCTTTGTTTTCTTGATGCTGAGCTTCAATCTATATTGAAGGCTGCAGTCCTTGGCCTTCTGCAATAAGAGCTTCAGGTCCTATTCAGTTTCAGCAAACAGGGTTGTGTCATCTGCATAACACAGGTTGTTGATGAGTCTTCCTCCAATCCTGTTGCCACATTCCTCCTCGTGCAGCCCAGCATCCTTGATGATGTGATGTGCATATAGATTGAAAAGATATGGTGGAGTCAGAGCGAGAACATTTCAGAGGTCGCCAGCTCCGGCGCTGACGGGTGTGGACCCCGGACGTCGCTGGGACTCCTCCTGAGCTCGGTGGCCCGCCCGCTCTCGCCCGCCTGCCCACCTGCCTCCGTCTCGGACCCGGTGACCATGCGCCGCACTTCATCCCAGTCCCGGGAGAGCAGCGTTGGGTTTATGTCTTTATTTTACGAAAACGAGCTGTTGCGCAGTCACTGGTACCTGTATTGGGGAAACATAGCCTGCACGCAAGACGATTCCAGCCTCGGCGGCCAAGACTTTTTCATGTCAGAGACCGAGAACTCTTGCAGTCGTTTATGTCATCCCTTCTTCTCCAGACAGAAGATACCAAAAAGTTGCAATCAAAGATCTCTTCATCTTATTGATAAAGCTACTAATAAGCCAAAATGTCTGTCAACGTCAACTGCAGTGTGTCAGACCAGTTCTATCGCTACAAGATGCCCCGTCTGATTGCCAAGGTTGAGGGTAAAGGAAATGGAATCAAGACAGTTATAGTCAACATGGTTGACGTTGCAAAGGCGCTTAATCGGCCTCCAACGTATCCCACCAAATATTTTGGTTATGAGCTAGGAGCACAGATCCAGTTTGATGTTAAGAATGACCGCTACATTGTCAATGGATCTCATGAGGCGAACAAGCTGCAAGACATGTTGGACGGATTTATTAAAAAATTTGTTCTCTGTCCTGAGTGCGAGAATCCTGAAACAGATCTGCATGTCAATCCAAAGAAACAAACAATAGGGAATTCTTGTAAAGTCTGTGGCTACAGAGGCATGCTTGACACACATCATAAACTCTGCACTTTCATTCTCAAAAACCCACCTGAGAATAGTGACAGTGGCACAGCCAAGAAAGAAAAGGAAAAGAAAACCAGAAAGGGCAAGGACAAGGAGAACGGCTCTGTGTCCAGCAGTGAGACGCCACCACCTCCACCTCCACATGACATCAGCCCTCCCC